ACCTGGTGGCGTATTGGAAGTGTCTTCGAACGTTTTGGTGGGCTCTTGGGCCTTGCGGGCGGGCGGGCGGCGCTCCGCCCGCCCGCGCGCAGAGCCCAAGAGGGGGTCCAAAACGTCTTGTGGAACAATCTTGGAGGAGATCGATCAACGAAGGGGGGTTCCCTAATTACAGCCCCCCCCTTCAGGAGCCACGATCCTCGTGAGGGGTGTCGAATTTGAGCCTTCCCAGGAGTCGATCTTGGACGCTCTAACTACCCGCGGCCCCCCCTGTCCAGGTCAGTGGGGATGGGGTAGGGGGAGGGGTAAACCCCTCCCCGAAGGGGAAGAAGGAGGGGTGGAAGAGGAAACGCTCTAAACCACCGACGCCCAGAGGGCTGGTGGGACTTTCATTTCTGAAGAATAAGTATTGTTGATCCCCCTCACCGATGCATACGGTTTTTTCTCAATCAAAGTGTGCCCCTCGACGCTCGCACCCTGTTTTTTGACAGGGAAAATCTTGATGCTGAAACTATGCCCCTGGCCCCCCCGGATTACAACAACAACGGCTCCCGCCTGAGACTTCCTCCACATTTACTCAAGACCCCCACTCCCGTTTGAGAATTCTTCACAATTTGCTCAGGATCGGTGCTCCCGCCTGTGACTTCCTCGCAATTTAGTCAGGACCCCCGCTCCCATCTGAGACGTCCTCACCATTTACTCAGGAACGGCGCTCCCGCTTGAGACCTCCTCGCAATTGAGTCAAGGCTTCTTCGCAATTTAATCAAGACCCCCGCTCCCGCCAGAGAGCCCCTCACATTTTATTCAGGAATTGCCCTCTCGCCTGTGACTTCCATACAATGTATTCACAAATCGCGCTTTCGACGCTCAGGAAGCACGCTGCGCCGGTTATAATTTACTTAGGAATCGCGCTCTCGCCATACTCAGGCATCCCGCTTGAATGTCCCACCCGCCCGACCCGCCCGTCAGGGGATCGCCCGCCCGTCGTGGGCTCCCGCCCGAGACTTCCTTCAGGAAGGGCGCTTTCGCCTAGGACTTCCTCGAGCGTTCACGCTCTTACCTTCCTGCTCCTCCTCTCCCTCCTCCCTCCTCCCTCCTCTCCTCCCTTCTCTCTCCCTCCCCTCTTCCCTCATCCTTATGCCTCTCTGCCCTGTCCCCTCTCCCTCCTCTCCCTCCTCCCTTCTCCCTCCCCTCTCCTGCCTCCTCCGTCTTCTTTTGTATTCTCTCTCTCTCTCTCTCTCCTCTCTCTCTCTCTCTCTCTCTACCTCTCTTTTTTTTTTCTCTCTCTCTCTCTCTCTCTCTGCGTCTAATCAACCGCCCCCCTCTTCGCTCCTTCTCTCCTGGTGTTTTCCCTTTTCCTTCGTCCCTCCCCCTCCCTTCCTCCCGCTTTCCCTCGCTCTCCCCCTCCTCTTATTGCAAGGCCCACACCAATTCCAATGGCGGGCGCATGTACGCCCACGAAGGATTGTCCGCCCGTTCAGGTTTGCCCGCCTGTCCAAACCCGCCGCCCCCCGCAAAGAGAAATAATCCCCCGAAAGGGGGTGCGATCGAAGACAAAAAGGGCGGGTATCGAGGGTGTGGGGAACTCGTTTTGAATGACACACGGGCAAGTAAGGGCGAACAAAATTACATCGATTGTCGTTGTTGTGGTTGTGGTTGTTGTTGTTGTGGTTGTTGTTGTTGTGGTTGTTGTTGTGGTCGTTGTTGTTGTGGTTGTTGTGGTTGTTGTTGTGGTTGTTGCTGTTGTTGTGGTGGTGGTTGTTGTGGTTGTTGTTGTTGTGGTTGTTGTGGTTGTAGTGGTTGTTGTAGTTGTTGTTGTGGTTGTTGTGGTTGTTGTTGTGGTTGTTGTTGTTTTTGTTGTTGTTGTTGTGGTTGTTGTTGTTGTGGTTGTTGTTGTTGTTGGTGTTGTTGTGGTTGTTGTTGTTGTTGTTGTTGTTGTTGGTGTTGTTGTTGTTGTTGTTGTTGTTGTTGTGGTTGTTGTTGTTGTTGTGGTAGTTGTTGTGGTTGTTGCTGCTGCGCTTGTTCTGGCCCCATTACTCTTCAAGGTGTTGGATGCCTGGGCTCCCCGCAGGAGGCCTGGCGGCAGCAGCAGGCGGCCAGGCGCGTCCCCCGGGGGGGCCCTCCCGAGGGGCGCCCGCGCGTGCCGCGGGCGGGGGGGGCCGCCGGCGCCGGCCCCTCTCGCGCCGCCCCGTCCCTCGGGGCGGGGGGGCGGGGCGAGGAATCGGCGAATGCGGGCGGTGTTCCTCCTCCTCCTCCTCCTCCTCGTCCTCCTCTTCCTCCTTCTCTTCCTCGTCCTCCTCCTCCTCCTCCTCCTCCTTCTCTTCCTCCTCCTCCTCCTTCTCCTCCTCTTCCTCCTTCTCTTCTTCCTCCTCCTCCTCCTCCTCGTCCTCTTCCTCGTCCTCGTCCTCGTCGTCGTCCTCGTCGTCGTCGTCATCGTCGTCGTCGTCGTCGTCGTCGTCCTCGTCGTCTTGGTTTTGTTTGGAAGGAGCACCACAAGGCCGAGGCGCACTGGATATGGATTAAATCGAGCCTCTAGGGGGCAAATGTATCCCCATCCAGCGCGCCTCGGGTTTCTGGGGAAGGGGCCCGAAACTCCGTATCGCAGTGGATAGGGACAGAAGTATTGCCCGCACCCAAAGCAGCGGCGGCACAGAGAGGAGCTGCTGCAGCGAAGCGATGGTGGACGGACGTAGAGGGGGAAAAAGGCACCCATACCTTTACCCCTCCCTCGCTCTCCCGCTTTTGCGGGGCCTCCTGGGAGGCCCTCGTCGCCTCCGCCGGAGTCGCCTCGAGAGCCCGGTCAGGACGCGCCCCGGGAGAGGTCTGGGGAGGAGCGGTGTCGGTGCCTCGTGGCTTCCCCGTGGGCGGGCAGGCCGACGCCCGGCCTGCGGCGCGGAGGGCCCGGGACCCGATGCAGCGCCACGGGCGGGCAGGTCCACGCCCTCCCCCGGCTCTCCGAGGGCAATTTTTTTCTGGGCAGGTTCGGGTCGGACGAAAGGGGGGGGGAATAGGGAAAGGGGGGGTTACGACGTCTACTGCATGCAGCTGGTTTCGGCCCCGCCGCCGGGCCCATTCCTCGATGCATGGGCGCCTCAGGCGCCGGGAGGCGACGGGAAAATCAGCTACGTGAGCTGATTCTGACCCCCCCTCTTTGTTATCCCCCTCTTTCGCCCGGCCGCCCGGCCCGATAGGTGCTGCTGCAATCCCAGATCGGCCGCGAGCGAGGGGGGGAGGCGAGAAGGTCACCAGCCACCGCACCACCCCAGCCCAAGCCGAAAGCCCCAGTGTGCCCTCCACTCCCAGTGGGGGGGGGGGCGTCGGGGAACATTCACAAGAGCACGCGTGAAACCCGCTCCCCCATCCCAACCCGCAGTTCGGGTCTTCGTGTCAGGTTCGGGTGGTCTGGTAGGCAGTCAATAGGGGAAGGCCTTCTCAGAAGGCGGTGGGACTTCTCACAAGCCCTCCTGCCTTCCGAGAGGTTTTTGTCGTGTCTTCGGGGAAGGCTTCTGGAAAACTTCTCAGCCAGAAGGCTGGGGGACTTCTGTTAAGTTGGGCATGTCCCTCTACAGGAGGAGAATGCAGAAATAGTAGAGAAATAGTCAGGTGGCGAGGATGGTTGATGCTATGCGAACTGTTTTTGATGATGGTTGTGGCTATCTTAGTTAGTTCTCTTACACAAAACCGGTTGTAGGAGGACATGTCCGACCTAAGACCAGACCAGACCCCCTCGCGTCGCGGAAACAGTCGCGACTGAAGGGTTTCGCTTTTTCCGGCCCCCAGGGGCTCTTTCTACCGGGCCGCAGGGCCGTCAGAAGACGACTCGGGAGGAGAAGCTGGCCCCAGGGAGTTGGTCGAGGCCTTTGGGGGTCGACGATCTTCAGGAGGGAGAAAAAGCACACAGACACAATTCATCGTCGATTTCCCCACAGATTTGGGAACATCTGGGAAGTGGGGGGAAGACAAAAACCCAGAAACTATGGAAACATATGGGGAATCCTGTTTTTCGTGTGTATTGATTTGTGTGCCCCAGGGCCCCTCCAGATCTGTTTTTTGGAGTTGTTGTTGCAGCCGCGGCGTTTGTCCGTCCGTTTCTCGGCGAAGGAGCACGACACAGCTGTAAACTTTCGGCGCTCCGCGCGAAGCTCTTGAGTCTGCGCCCGGGACCCCCCGGCGGCGCCTCCGGGTTCGCCCTTGGCGCGCCCCGCGCGCCAAGGGCGGGGGGCTCAGCGTATATCGGGGGTGGACAGACCTCCTACCCTGGCACGTCGATGAAGGAATTGGCCGTTTTCGGTTCGAGGGAGGGCGTCGCGGCCGTCATGTTTGCGGGGCCGGGTCCGTCGGTTTCGGTCCCAGGCCGTTTTCCCTAAGGGGAGGTCTACGAAAGGGAGGTTTGTCCACCGCCGAGTAGATCAGGAGGGAAAGAAACACACAGACACAATTAATCGTCAACTCCCAAGAAAATATTGGAAAATATGGGAATTGGGGGGGAAGACAAAAACTCAGAAAATATGCGAAAATATGGTGAATATCTTTATTTGTGTGTATTTATTTGTGTGTCCTGGGGCCCCTTCAGTATAGACCTCGCGGGCGATTTGTCCCCCCCAAAACCTCCGAGTTCCGCCCGAACCGCTTGGGCCGCTCCGCACATGGGAGGAGCCCCGGATACACCCCGCGGGGGCTGCTCGGACGCACCCCCTATCGGGGGTGGACGCCCCGCCATCGTACATCCCAGGGTTGGCCCCAGATGTTCCGCCCATTCGAAAGCCCCCCGAAGCCTGGGATGGGGGTCGACATATCCCCTGTTATGGATCCCAGAACTCCGCGCGGAATGTCGGGCGTGCATGTTGATGCCGTTTTTTCTCCCTCTAAGTTCGGCCTCTGGAGCCGCGATGAGCGAAAGCTGAACGATCCGCGCGGTGTCAAAATACCGATGTCTGTCCGAGCGGCGTCGGAAACCGATGCCGACTTCATCGCGGCGTGTACATGAGGTAACTTGTTGTTGGAGTTGCCGCCGTAAATGGGCTCAAGGCTCCTCGGGCCTATTCTTTGGCTGCTTCACGGGCGCCGCTCCTGCATCGATCTGGGTGCGACCGTGGCCCAGCGAGGGCTTCGCACCCTGAGCCAGGGTTCCTCCTGGCAGGACCTCGACTGCGTTTCAGCCACGCGCAGAGGGGGGAGGGGGGAGGGGGGAGGGCTTCTTAGAAGTACCCCTGCTTCTTAGAAGGCGCGGGGCTGATCTATAGATGTAAGGCCGGCGCCTTCTAAGAAGCAGCCTCCTTGTGCGCGCCGCCAAGCGTTGGAGCGACGGACTCTTCAGAGGCTACAGCTGGATTCGATGAGGGCCCTCCTCCCCCTCTTCCTCTGAGCTATCGGGGAGGCCCCCTCGTCGCCGCGGTTGGGCCCGCCACAAAGGCCTGGCCAGGAGGAGGAGGAGGAGGAGGAGAAGGAGGAACGAGAGGAGGAAAGAGAGGAGGAAAGAGAGGAGGAAATAGAGGAGGAACGAAAGGAGGAAAGAGAGGAGGAACGAGAGGAGGAAAGAGAGGAGGAAAGCGAGGAGGAAAGCGAGGAGGAACGAGAGAAGGACATAGAGGAGGACAGAGAGGAGGAAAGAGAGGAGGGAAGAGAGGATGAAAGAAAAAAGGAAAGCGAGGAGGACAGATGATGACAGGGAGGAGGAACGAGATGAGGAACGAGAGCAGGAAAGAGAGAAGGAAAGAAAGAAGGATAGCGGTGAGGACAGAAAGGAGGAGAGAGGAGGAACGAGAGGAGGAACGAGAGAAAGAGAGGAGAAAAGAGAGGAGGAAACAAGAGAGGAGGAAAGAGAGGAGGACAGAGAGGAGGAGAGAGAGGAGGACAGGGAGGAGGAAAGAGAGGAGGAACGAGAGGAGGACAGAGAGGAGGAAAGAGAGGAGGAAAGAGAGGAGGAGGATGAGGAAGTAGGAGGAGGAGGAGGAGGAGGAGAGGAGGAGGGGGAGAAGGAGGAGGAAAACAGAGAGGAGAAAGGCGGTTGGACAGAAAGAAGGACGGAGAGGAGAGGATGAGAGGAAACGAGAGGAGGACAAGAGGAATATTGAGAGAAGGAACGAGAGGAGAGAGAGAGGAGGACAGGGAGGTGGAAAGAGAGGCGGAACGAGAAGAGGAAAGAGGGGGAGGAACGAAAGGAGGAAAGAGAGGAGGAAATAGAGGAGGAACGAGAGGAGGAACGAGAGGAGGAAAGAGAGGAGGAAAGAGAGGAGGACAGAGAGGAGGAAAGCAAGGAGGACAGAAAGGAGGACAGAGAGGAGGCGCGAGAGGAGGAACGAGAGGAGGAAAGAGAGCAGGAAAGAGAGAAGGAAAGAGAGGACGAGAGGAGGAAAAACGAGAGGAGGAACGAGAGGAGGAAAGAGAGGAGGAACGACAGGAGGAAAGAGACGAGGAAAGAGAGGATGAAAGCGAGGACAGAGAGGAGGAACGAGAGGAAGACAGAGAGGAGGAAATAGAAGAGGAAGGAGAGGAAACAAGAGAGGAGGAGAGAGAGGAGGACAGAGAGGAGGAAAGAGAGGAGGACAGAGAGGAGGAAAGAGAGGAGGACCGAGAGGAGGACAGAGAGGAGGAAAGAGACGAAGAAAGACGAGGAGGAGGAAAGAGGAGGAGGAGGAGGAGGAGGCCCAGGGGCCCCTTGCCCGCCCCCTCGCCCTCAGAGCCCCGCTCCTGCCTTTCGCGTGCTTGTGTGCCGTGAAGTGCGCAAGCCGCTGGCACCTGCAGGAACCCAGCAGATCTCCGCCGTCGTGTGCTCTCTGTCGCAGCAGCCCGCCCGCCGGCTTCCGCCGCCGGGGGCTGCTCTGAGGCCTCGCCCACTGGCTTGTGGCCCCTGGCGACCTGGCGCCTGCGCCTGCAGCGCGCCCGGCCGGCTCCCTCTTCGTCGGCAGGCTCTCCCTGCACCTCCCGCGCCCGCTCCACGCACCGGGCGCCCGTGCCTGGAAGCCGACCGCGCACCCGCGCCTCCGCGGCCGTCCTCCGCGGTGCGCCCCGCGTCCAGCGTGTCCCGCCGGTGCCGCCCCCCGCGCTGGAGTCCGCCGGCGCTGCCGAGCGAGAGCTTTTATCCTTGAGATCTTGGCGGTGCCATTTTTTCGCAGTGGGCGTTTTCTCGCTCCGTGCCGGGCCCCGGGGCCCTCGCAGATCGGTCTGGTTCGAAGAATGGCGCAGCAGGATGGGCTCCGGGGCTCCGGTCGCGATGTTTCGCGATGTTGCAAGTGTTTCGCAGCGTCGGCCCTCAGGGTTTGTCGCAGCGTGGCCCGAGAGAGGTCTCTGCCCTTTCCCTGGGGTTAAGTCGGGCCTGTCCCTCTACAGGGGGAATATTAATATATAGTCAAACAAATAGTGTGGGGACTATTTTTTGAGTATGTTCTGACCATTGTGGGGTATTTCTTTGATATTTTTTATTTTTGGTCGAAAATCCCCCTGTAGGGGGACATTCCCGACTTAACCCTGGGGCCGGCTTCTCGTTCTGAGTTCTTGGATGGTCCTGGGGCCCGGCGAGGGAGGCCGAGGTACAGGCAGCCCGCATAGCAAGGATGGGCAGCCTTACCAAGGGTACCCCTTAGGCGATGCTTAAGAAAACTTGAGTTTTCGGCCAGAGTGTCGATTATTCTTAACGTTTCAATGTAAATCTTAAGATTTGAATCGAAATGTTGGGTTTTTATTCAAGTTCTGAGACTATGAATGTCTTAACCCATGATTTCTTAAGCATTTCGCAGGGTGTACCCTTGCATCCTTCCCTCCTCGGTCCCTCCTGGGCCACTTTCGTTGGCCGCGCCCCGCTCTACAAGCTTCGAGGTGGCCTGTCAAGGCCCTTGCATCTCCTTATCGTGCGTCCTGATGAGACGGGCTGAATGTACGGGAGACAATTACGCTGGGACATGGGGGAATAAGTTCGGATGCTCGGAAGAGTGTGCCCTCGCCCGAGTGATCTCCCTGGTGCGGGCCCACGAGTCCCCCCAGCATTGGTCTCCGCGCTTGGATTTGGGCCCCGCCTCCCGCGGCCCACTACTAAAGTTAAGTCGGGGATCTCCCTCTACAGGAGGAATATTCAAGGATGACCAGCAAATAATCAGGGGACGATGTTTCGTGCTCTTTGTGACAATGTTTGATTGCTATTTGACTATGTTTTAGTTTCCTCTTTCAAAATCCGCCTGTAGGAGAACATGCCAGACCTAACACTGAAGCCGCGCACAAAAGCTCATTCTGGCGAGGGGTCGCTGATATAATGACCATTCGCCAGGGTGACCCTTCGCAGACTTCGTCAACCACGTGGCCGGCGAAATTCTCAGACATCCGTTGATTCCTTGCATGCGGGGTCCCTGGAAGTCCAGACCATTTCTTCAGGGCCATGTTTTTACTCCTGCGGCGGTTTTTGACGGTCGCCGGGCCCTGGAGGCCGCAACACGTTCCAAAACCTTAGGGATTTCGTTTCTCGACTTCTGCGTGCACGTGTCGCCCATTACCTGCCTGCTCGCATCATCTACTCTCAGCGTTGTAACTGATATGTTGCTCACTGCCTGTCTTCTCGCATCAGCTGATTTCAGCGCTTTAGCTGAGACTTTGCTCACTGCCGCCCTTCTCGCTTGAGCAACTCCCAGCTTGTAGCTAATGCGCCGCTCACTGCCTGCCTTCTCGCCTGGACTACTCTCCGCGTTGTAGCTGCTATGTCGCCCACGGCCCGTCTGGAGCTCGAGCTTCCGCCCGCAGCTCCTGTCCGCACGGGCTACGCCCAGCGTTGTAGCTGAGACTTTGCTCACGTCCGCCCTTCTCCCATAGCCAACTCCCAGGCCATCGCCACTTTCAAGTCTGGCCCATCGGAACACCGTCACGTCCACGCACAGGCCTCCGGGTGGAACGTGGCTGGGAGGAGCAGGCGGAGGGGGAGGAGGAGGAGGAGGAGGAGAGAGTATTGGACGACAGAGGAGCGAGGAGTGAGGAGGAGGAGGAGGAGGACCATGAGGAGGAGGGACTAGCGTAAACCCAAGGGGAATCAACAGTGTTGCAATACACCCTCCTTCCACGTTCCCCTTTCACAGGTCCCTGCAATAACTGTTGTTCATTGCGGAAAATGCACCATCGAAAGACACGCCTGAGAATCCTCAATCGTGCCATCATACCATTCCTGGGACGCAAGCACCGCGAATCAACTTGACTGTTGCGTCGCAACAACCGTAAGTCCTGCGAGAAAGTCATGCCTGGGATGCAGAACCCCTCGAATCAACATGACTGGTGTGGCCTGGAATTTTGGCTCGCATCATTTTGGTGACAGTCCTAGATCGTGCCCTACGTGTCCGTGAAACTGCTGCAAACATTTCAGACGAGTTCGATTGGCGCTAAGGCGAGATATGCATTTTGAAAACGAGCCGCCCTTTATCCTAGGAGCTGTCGCAGTTTACAGACATGTGCGCAGCGCCGAGGCAAGAGCACGTTTGCGCGCGGCTCTCAGGCGAGAGCCACATCTTTCAGACCCTCCGTCCTTGAAGCTGTTGCAGACTTTACAGATCAATGCGCGCGGTGCGAAGGCAAGAGCCACATTTCGAAAGCCGCCTGCCTTCCATCCTGGATGCTGTTTTGGATGTCAAGCCTCAGGGTCATAAATAAGGACGAAGTCTCGGGCGAAACGTCTGGTCCGCCTCACCGAAATGTCTCGGGGGTGCGACAGGGAGGAGTTTATGATTAGGACAATGGCTGGAGCGAGGAGGATCACCCCCTGGAAGCCTTGAAGTCAGACGTCCCGAAGATTTGCAGCACAGTGCGGAATCACGACCAGAGCCCCAGACCACATCCTTCGCCGCCATTTCTCGAGCCGGGCCGATCTGGGAGGGCCCCGGGGCCCGCCGCGGGGCGAAAGCGCTGTGCACGAAGCGACTGAGGTGCCAGGATCTCACAGCCCGCAGCTGGTGCACAGCTGGTGGTTCCCAGTCCCGCCGCCGCCGGCCGCCCCCCCCCCCCCGGCACATTCGGAGGCGACGATCGGGGCGAATGGCCCAGGGGGGAGCCATACGTGTATCCAGGGGCGCCAGTGGTGCATGCCTTCGGTGAGGCTCCCGGGCGACTACGTTCGGGCGAAGAGACCTATGCGCATGCACCGGTCCTGGCCATGCCCATCCTTGGCCCCAGGATCGGTGCACATGCCTTCCTGGCCCAGGTAGGAGGGCGTATGCACCGATCCTGGGCTCAGGATGGGCCTGGCCAAATTTATTTCCTCGATATGTTCAAGGCCCGCCCCCTCCGCTATTCGCCCCTATCTGATGGGCCTGTTTTCCACCACCACCTCCATAAGTTGGAGGGGGGAAGGAGGAGGAGGACGAGGAGTAAGAGGAGGACGAGTAGGAGGAGGAGGCGGAGGAGGAGGAGGAGGCGGAGGACGAGGAGGCGGAGGAGGAGGAGGAGGAGGAGGAGGAGGAGGAGGAGGAGGAGGTAGAGGAGGGAGGAGGAGGAGAAGGAGGAGGTGGAGGAGGATCCCCTCCCCCTCCAACTTATGATGGTGGTGGTGCGAAACAGGCCCATCACTATCGTCGCCCCCGGCACATGGGCGATGGCCTGTCGAGCCTCGGCGCCGGGGTGCACGCCGCCTCCCAGGAGTTCTGCTGCTCCTCGGCGCGGCGGCCCGCGGACGGATCCCCGGAGGGCGCTGGGCGCACGCCGTCCGCCTCGAAGCGGGGCCTGAGAGGCGGGGGTCAATCGATGACCTTGTTTTCCACCACCACCATCATAAGTTGGAGGGGGAGGGGGTCCTCCTCCTCCACCTCCTCCTGCTCCTCGTCCTCCTCCTCCTCCTCCTCGTCCTCCTCGTCCTTCCCCCCATCCAACTTATGGTGGTGGTGGTGGAAAGCAGGCCCATCATCAATGCAAGCGGGGGTCAGCCAGGGCGCTGGATCTTGCAGGATCCTGCAGGGCCAGGGTCGCACTGACCCGGGTTTGGGTGCAGGATTCTGCAGGGCCAGGGTCGCGTTGACCCGGGTTTGGGTGCAGGATCTTGCAGGATTCTGCAGGGCCTGACTGACCCGGGTCTGGACTGACCTGGGTCAGAAGATCCCCGATCGAGGCAGGTCTCCTGTCCAGATTCTGGCAAGGCTGCTTGCACATTGAAGGGGGGAGGGGCAAGGCTTCGTTCAGCAGTGCAATTCAGAACTGAACAGTGAGTTGAGGTAAACTTCAGCATGCCATGTCCCTCTACAGGAGGAGCATTCAAGAATAACAAAGCAATAGTATGGTGATCATTTCTCGCTCTGTTTTGACGGTGTTTTGGTTTCATTTCGTCCAAAATTCTCCTGTAGGAGGGCATGCCCAACCTAAAATTACACTAAGAGGGGTCAGGGGCAACGATAGGGAGGATAAGCATAGGCGTCAAAGCATCGACCCCCAATCGCCAATCGATCGGTGATAGGGGCCCGATGGCCCCACCCCGCCCATCAGGGCCATATCGCCGACGGGCCGTCCATTCCAGGCCGATGTTTCCCCCTGGGCCAGTCCTCTCCTATCGTTGATGCGGGCGTGGTAAGGCCCGAGAAATGAAATTTGGACTTCTTGCAAGTCGGGACTCATTTGTATGCCTTTTCAGAACCGGACCGCGCTGTCGGAAATGGCGGCGGCGGGGGGGGAATGCCATGCAAGTAGACTTGCCTGAGTATGAACAGGAATGCAGCCTTCAGGTCTCCGACAGTTTGGTTTGGCCCGTCGTGGCGTTTTTCCGTCAACTCGGCCTCGGGAGGCCGCTTTCTGGCCCCAGGCCTACGATACGTGGATCAGGGGCGGAAGCCTGGCCTCGGGGAAGGGGTCCGAGCTCTTCGGGGCCGCGGATTGCAAAGACCAGCTCGTCGGATGCCTGGGCTGATCAGAGAATGACAGTGCTCCAGGGAGCAGAACGCAGCCAGACCCCGGCAACTGGCGTGCACCAAACGGCCCTGGGCGTTTACTACAGATCCCTGCCCTGTTCGATTCCTCCCCTGGGTGCGTTTACTGCACGGCTTCGCTTGTCGGGGCGCTTGCTCTGCGGGGCGGATGTTCTGCTCTCTGAGCGCATCGTACCGTTCCGTTTTTTGATACACATGCTCCGCGTGCGGACCCCATGTATTAGCGATGCAGGGATTTAGTATTAAAAACAACGATGCGTTCATGCATAAAAATATATTCGTACATTGATCATGTATAACAAATTCTATATGTTTCAAAATCCTATGTATTCAAAACTGCCCTGTAAGCAGAAGATCTCTCGGAGGTCCGCGCGGAATCTCCTGGATCTGCGCCAGCCACTCCTGGCTGCGCCTCCGCCGCGCTCCGTGCCCCAGGGAGGTGGGTCCAGCGCCGATCCAAGGCATCTGTTCGAACCCTTTGCTTCTTCTTCATGTTCATCTTCTTTTAGCGTATTGCTAATGGTCTTCTTTTCCTCCGCGTTCTTCTTCTATTGATTCTTCTTCTGGCCATTATTTTACGTATTATTATTATGTGCCTTCTTTTTACTTCTCTTCTTCTTCTTCCTCGTATGATTATTCGTTATATTTATGTGTGTATATATATGTGTATATACTGATTTTCTTATTCTTATTCTTAGTATCCCTTTTCTTATTCTTATTTTTCTATGTTATGCCACCTTCCCGGGGCGCGAATGTTACCTATGCGTGCGTTTCCCAGGCTTGGAGCGTCTGGAGCAAAAGCCAATGCGGAGTCCTGTTGCTCCGTTTGGAGGGCCTTCAGGGGCTCCGTGCGGCGCGAGTCCCGTCAGAGACCCAACCCTGAAGGGGAGCCGGCCTGGGGGAAAGCGTGTCCACTATGGGGGAAAGGTCTCGAGAGGAACGGGCCCAGAGGTTTCTCGCAGTCTTCGGGCTCTCGGGGACCTCCATCGGCCTCGGGGCTGTCAGAAAACGACGCAGGATGAAGATCTCGTCCGGGTGAAGGCTCCGTGGTCCAGGGCCCGCTTCCCTCAGGGCCTGCTTCCCCAATGCTGAGGTGTGAATGCCGGCCTTGAGGGATCAAGACCGTGTTTGCTTTTCGGGAAGGCTTACGGTGAGGTACTTTGGCTCAGCGTGTCGCGCCGCCGGATCTGGCCCACCACGCTTCGGTCTGATCCCTCTGGTGGCCCCGGAGACCCACAGACGCTCTGGGTCTCTAGGCCTCCTAGATGGGGTCGGAGTAGATGGGGTCGGAGGATCGCGCCGCATCGCCGATGCATCGACGATGCGGCTCGACGATGCGGAGCCCGATTTTCTCCACGCCGACGTCGCCGATACATCGCCGACGTCGACGCCTCATCGTCGGTGCATCGCCGGTGCATCGCCGATGCATCGCCGATGCATCGCCGATGTATCGGCGATGCGGCGCGGTCCTCCGACCCCATCTACTCCGACCCAATCCAGGAGGCCTCTAGGGGCACCGTGGGACCCTCAAGGATCGACGAACAATGTGTTCCCAGATTCCCCGAAACACAATCTTGTACCGTGTGCCTCCACTGTACGTACCCCCCTGCGTCCGGCCCGACCCTCCTCGGGCTCAGGGCTCCCGCTCTGGGCCATCATCGGAGGGGGGGGGCCCCATCGGAGGGAAAAAGACACACAATTAATCGTCGATTCCCCAGAAAATATGTGAATCTATGGGACATGGGGGGGAAGACAAAAACCCAGAAAGTATGAAAAAATATGGGGAATCCATTTATTTGTGTGTATCTACTTGTGTGTCCCAGGGCCCCTTCAGTGTAGGCCGCGGATGGTCGCGCGCGCTCGGGGAGCGGTCCTGGAGCGGGTCCGGCGTCGTCCTGCTTAGCCCGCTCGGCGCCCAGACCCGCTCGGCCGCTGAGTTTGCGGCCGAGCGGGCTCGGGCACCGACAGGGCCGTGTGGATCGGGCCCTGCTCGGCTGCCGAGTGTCAGAGGAGGAGATGGAGGACGAGGGGGAGGAGGAGGAGGCAGGAGGGAGGTAGGAGAGGAGAGGAGGAGGAGGAGGAGGCAGGAGGAGGTAGGTGGAGGTGGGGGGGGAGGGAGGAGGAGGAAGGAAGAGGAGGAGGGAGGAAGGAGGAGGAGAGGAGGAGGAGGAGGAGGAGGGAGGGAGAAGGAGGAGGGGGAGGAGGAGGAGGAGGAGGAGGAGGAGGAGGAGGAGGAGGAGGAGGAGGGGAGGGGGGAGGAAGGGGGGGAGGTCCGGTCAGGAACTTTGGCGCAGAGTGCCGCGCGGCCGGTTCTGGCCCACCACGCTGCGGAGCGACGCGCTATCCACGGCCCAGTCCCCGAGCGTCAACGTCACGAGCCTGTCCCAACATCCCGCCCCGCGGAGCGGAGCGACAAGCTATCCGCTTGCACGGCACACCGTGTCACAGGGGCCGCCGCCGCGACACGCTCAGCAAAAGTTCCCGACCGTGCCGATACCGCTGCTCGTCCTGGAGAGCCCTAGTTGCCACGGGCGGGTTCTCCTCGGAATTCTGATCTGAACGTGCCCCAGGAGAAGGCGTGGGGAGCAGCGGCGTCGGTATGTGTTGTCCCCCCACAGTGGGCTTGATCTTCGCTCCGCTCGGCGGCCGAGCGAGCTCGGACGCCGAACGTGCCCAGAAGGGAGCCCCGGAGTGTCTCGATCGGGACATTCTGCTTGCACTCACCGGTCCTGGCCAGTCCGGATCGGTCCGTGGGTGTGTGGCTGGCGTCCTCCCAAAGCCGATGCGGCTGGCAACAGGGCGTTCGAGAAGCGCAAGAAGAAGCTGCACGGCCTTAACGAGAAGTTAGGCCTTCTGGTGGAGCAGGAGATCACGAGCTTATTCGTGGGCGAGGACACGAGCAACGACATCACCGTCGAGGAGGCGAACAAGGTGGTGAGGCACCTGGCGCGGTACAACTTCATTGTCAATGTGGACATGGCGAGCTTCGACAAGAATGGCAATGGCAGCATCGAGAAAGAGGAGTTCGAGTCTGCGCTGAGGGCCTCCACGTTTCAGCGGCCCGAAAACCTGGAGGTTCTCGTGCAGAGTTGTGACGACGTCGAGAATCACCTGAAGGAGGCGTTCACGGACGTCATGAAGGGATGCCGTGCGAACTTGGCGCGCCGTTCGGTGACAGTGCCGGCGCTGCCAGATGTCGTGCGCAAGATACCGCCCCTGAGCAGCGGGTCGGAGATCGGCCCCCGCGCGAAAAGCGAGCCGGAAGTTGCGCCCGTGCGTGCCAGAAGCGCGCCAGATGTCATAGGGAGCCCTCTGATCAGCGTGCCAGACGTCGCGCGCCTGATGAGGGAGCTGCTCATGGAGCTTGGGCACACGGACGCAACTATCGAACTCCATGACGGCAGCGGCGGCGCCGAGGGGGATTTGGCGGGGCAGCTCGGGTCGTTCGATGTTGACGGCGACGGCCATCTGACGTTCGACGAGTTCTTCCAGGCTTATTGCAAATTCCTTGTGCGAATCTACTACCTCAAGAAGTCGTCCATCTTCAGGAAGGCGGGTAAAGATAAGGATAAAGATAAAGATAAAGATAAAGATGCAAAGGCTGTGGTGTCGTTCTAGTTCCTCCTGGTTCCCCTCCCCCTCCTCAATCGCCTGTGATGTCGGCAATGCTGTGGTCCTGTGCGAAGCGGGAATTGTCGTGGAGGCACCGTTGCGGCTCCTGCTACCATGCATGTACCTGAAGCCCAGTCGGTTGTTCCATGTGTGCGCGTTCGCTCATTTGCCGACTTTTCCTGCCGCGCGGAAGTACCTGCAAAGCAGGTTTTTTTTTACCGGTGACGTTGGCCATAGAGGGCGAAGGCTGATAACACCATCTGGCACCTGCCTGGCAATCCTCTCACTCGCACGCACGAGTGCTCACACTTCACCACGCAAGTTGCTTGTTAGCGTGCATGTGCTGACACATGAGCGTTTGGCACATGGATCCTCCCAGCCCAGTCTTTTGTGTATGCAGCCGGCGAGAGTATGATCCATGTGTTAGCCGGGGTCAACGGAAATCGTAAGTAGATGGCGGAGTCGTGGCAAGCATGGCATTCAAATCAGCGCTCACGAGGTGACTGAACACTCAGCCTGGTCCGAATGAATGCCAGAGCAATGCAGAGACAGGTGTCGTACCCAGTTCGTGGACAGAACGATTGAGGCCGACAGCGGGGGAACAATCAGAGAGTGATTCCATAAACACCTGAACTATGATCAAACACATGTTGTGAACTACGTGGCCGACGTTCATGACCTTGTGACAAGCAAGTGGGGCCATCGTGTTGACAAGACTGGCATGGCTGGCCGGGGCTGCTGGGGAAGGGCTTTGGAAAGTGTCTCATATTGGCTTCATTCGGGCTGTGCTGGCTTGGCTGGCTGGGTTGGCTAGGCTGGACTGGCGTTTGGGCGGGGATGGGACCAGAGGGCGTCCGATGCCTACTGAGGGCTCCGTCTATGAAACCTGGCTGGCTGGGCTGGCTGGTGGCTGGGCTGGGTAGGCCGACTGGGCTGGGTCTGGCTGGGCTGGAGCTGGCTGCGCTTGCTGGGCTGGCTGGCTCGGGGGCGTGACTCTGGAGGCGAACTGCAGTGCGGAATGCTCGCAGGGGTTGCCGCTGGCCTCGGCGCCCGAGCGAGATCTTTCGCGGCACAGAGGATCCGAGGCGGGGATTCATCCGTAGCCATGGCCTGGGGGATCGATCTTCAGGGACCTCCGCAGGCAGTGGATCTGGGCCCAAGTATGTCCATATCCACTGCCCACAGGGGTCCCGGGATAACGGTTCCCCACGCGGTCAATATGGATAATTTCCCGCCTCGCAGAGAATGCCGTTGGCTGCCTGAGGCTTGCATCCTGCGAGTCGGAGTCGTGCCCTTGAGCGTTCCTTTCCACCAGGCAGGGGAGGATCGTGGTTCGAGCATCGGGGTTCGAGGATTTCTGCTCCTGGATGGCCTTGGCCCGCATCGGGACTCCCACACAGGCCGCGTGGCCGAGCACGGGGGTTGCATCCTGAATCTCAGGGTCGTAGTGCAATACAATGGAAACCCATGCCAAGAAGCACCCCGCTCGCCTCCAGGGTGCCCTGGGCTTCTTGGGTTTCGATGGTCTCGCTATGGACAGCGCGACGCCCCGACCATCACCAGTGGACGTCCTGGGGTCTCAGGGTTGGGTTTCTTGTGGAAGGTGTCTTGTGGTCGAGCTCCTGTTGTATTTCGGCGGCGAGTGAGGGGGGGAAGTGAGAAGGAGAAGGCCTTCTCAAAAGGCGGCGGGGCTTCTCAGAAGCGCCCCCGGCCTTCCGAGAAGTCTTCTGTGCCTTCGGGGAAGGCTCAGAGCACTTCTCAGAAGGCGGGGGGTCTCCTTCTCCTCCTCCTCCTCCTCCTCCTCCTCCTCTCTCTGCTCCCCTCCTCCCGTCCTGCCTCCTTCTCGCTCCGCCTCCTCCTCCTCCTCCTCCTCCTCCTCCTCCTCCTCCGCCTCCCTCCTCCTCCTCCGCTCCTCCCCCTCCTCCCTCCTTTCCTCCCCCTCTCCCCCTCCTCACCCTCCTCCTCCTCCTCCTCCTCCTCCTCCTCCTCCTTCCCTCCCCTCCTCCTCCTCCTGCGCGGTCGTTCTCCTCCTCCCCCTCCTCCGCCTCCGCCCCCTCCTCCTTCTCCTCCTTCACTCCTTTCCTTCGTCTCCTCCTTCGCCTCATCCTCCTCCTCCTCCTTCTCCGTCTCCTCCTTCCTTCTTCTCCCCCCCCCTCCTCCCGTGCTTTTCCTCCTCCTCCTCACCTCCTCCTCTCCTCCTCCTTCTCCTCCTCCTCCTCCCTCCTGCTCCTCCTCCTCCTCCTCCATCCCGCCTCCTCCTCCGCCGCCTCCTCCTCCCTCCTCCTCCTCCTCTCCCCTCCTCCTCCTCCTCCTCCTCCTCCTTCTCCTCCTCCTTCGCCTCATCCTGCCCCTCTTCCCCCCTCCTCTCCTCCTCCTCCGCCTCCTCCTCCTCACTCTCCTTCCTCCTCCTCCTTCGCCGCCTCCTCCTCCTCACTCCTCCTCCTCTTCCTCCTCCTGCTCCCACTCCTCCTCCTCCTCACCCTCCTCCTCCTTCCTCCTGCTCCTCCTCCTCCTTCTTTCCCCCTCCTCACTCCTCCCCCGCCTCCTCCCTCCTCTCCTCCTCCTCCTCCGTCTCCTCTCCTCCTCCTCCTCCTCCTCCTCATGCCTCATCCTCAGCCTCAACCTCATCCTCCTCCCTCCGCCATTCCTCCTTCTCCTCCTCCTCCTCCTCCTCCTCCTCCTCCTCCTCCTCTCCCTTCTACTCCTACTCCTATCCTTATTCCTTATTAGAATCTACTCCTACTCCCCCCTCAGGCTGGCAGATAGCGGGCGCATCCGGGTGGTCCCATCCTAACTTGTAAAGAACAATACAAAATCAACATTTTTCTTATTACCTAACAGCGAAGACTGATAGGTTTCTAGTGGTGTCAAAAGAGGTCACAGATCACTCCACAGGGGGGTCCGGGCAGGTGTTGGGAGTTGCCGGGCGGCAGGGTGCCCCGCTCGTTTTCCACCAACAGTCACACACTTCGTGCTCTTCGACTTCCCAGAACTCCATTCCCAGGCTCATTCTGAATAACCGGATGCAACAGTCACACACTTCGTGCTCTTCGAGATCCCAGAACGCCATTCCCGGGCCACATTCTGGAGGGCCGGATGCAACAGTCACACACTTCGTGCTCTTCTATTTCCCAGAACTCCATTCCCGGGCCACATTTTGAATGCCCGGAGCCAACTGTAGGCCACTTCGTGCTCTTCGAGTTCCCAAAACTCCATTCCCGGGCCACATTTTGAATGCCCGGAGCCAACTGTAGGCCACTTCGTGCTCTTCGAGTTCCCAGAACTCCTTTCCCGGGCCACATTTTGAATGCCCGGAGCCAACTGTAGGCCACTTCGTGGTCTTCGAGTTCCCAGAACTCCATTCCTGGGCATGATTTTGAATGCCCGGAGCCAACTGTAGGCCACTTCGTGGTCTTCGAGTTCCCAGAACTCCATTCCTGGGCATGAATTTGAATGCCCGGAGCCAACTGTAGGCCATTCCCGGGCCAGATTTTGGATGCCCGGAGCCAACTGTAGGCCACTTCGTGGTCTTCGAGTTCCCAGAACTCCATTCCTGGGCATGATTTTGAATGCCCGGAGCCAACTGTAAGCCACTTCGTGTTCTTCGAGTTCCCAGAACTACATTCCCGGGCCACATTTTGAATGCTGAGGCAGGCTGAGGCTGAGGCTGAGGCAGGCTGATGCTGAGGCAGGCTGAGGCTGAGGATGAGGCTGATGCAGGCTGAGGCTGAGGCAGCCTGAGGCTGACGCCGAGGCTGAAGGCAGACTGAGGCTGAGGCTGAAGCAGGCTGAGGCTGAGGCTGAGGCAGGCTGAGGCTGAGGCAGGCTGAGGCTGAGGCTGAGGCAGGCTGAGGCTGAGGCTGTGTCTGTGACTGCCGTTGCCGCTGCGACTGTCATCGCGAATGCGACTACGATTGCGAGAACAGCACAATTCTACAACTGGATTCTCATCTGAATCTTAAGGGGAATGCTTCCAGATATGCTCCTACACATCGCTGTTAGGCTGCTTTGCCGGGATAATTTTTTCCTCTCGACATGGACGTCCTGTCGTCCACGGCGATAATCCATGGCAAAAAATACCACAAAGAGCACACGCGCGCGTTCGTGTCAGAATCCTACCGAACACCGTGTGTTTGCAAGCATTTCAACATAAAAACATCAAACACCCAATGCTTTTTCACAAAAAATATACAAATGTCCCGCCCGGGCTCTCTGGCTGAAATCATAAGAAAACCATAGGAATCTTAAGAATTCGGTCAAATCCAGCGATTTCACGTCATCGCGCGGTGCACTCGCGATGCTCTGTCATGCACCCAGGCCGCGAATCCTGTGCAAAAAATTACCACAAAGAGCACACTCGCGCGTTCATGTCAGAATCCTACCGAACACTGTGTGTTTGCAAGCATTTCAACATACAAACATAAAAAACCCAATGCTTTTTCACAAAAATGCTTTGGGGTGTCCTGTCAGACCGTCGGGCTTCCTCCGGCCACCTCTGGCTTCCTGCGGTGTACGGGCCATTCTCGACTCGTCTGGCAATGCGTGCGCGGCATTCAACACGCGCTCGCCAGTTCCCGTCGGCAACCGCCATCGCTGCCGCATCAGCTGTACCAAACCGGCTGGCCGGTGTGACTTCGGCCCCCAGTTGTGCCAGCTTTGCTTCTTATGTTGTGGGAGGGCGGGTGGGACTGGGCATGCCATGCTTGACTCGCTCGAGCTGGCTAGCTTGACTCCTACTCCTACTCCTAGGCGGGTGGGACTGGGCATGCCATGCTTGACTCGCTCGAGCTGGCTAGCTTGACCCTTACTCCTACTCCTACTCCTACTCCCACTCCTACTCCTCCTCCTCCTCCTCCTCCTCCTCCTTCCTCCTCCTCCTCCTCCTTCGCTTCCTCCTCCTCCTCCTCCTCCTCCTCCATCTTCCTCCTTTCTCCTCCCCCTCCTCCTCCTCTTCCTCCTCCTCCTCCTCCTCCTTCTCCCCCTCCTCCTCCTCCTCCTCCTCCTCCTCCTCCTCCTCCTTCTCCTCCTCCTCCCCGTCGAGCCTTCTGAGAAGGCCTACCCCTTCTCACTTCCCCCCCGGGCTCGCCGCCGAGCATGGTGGAAGAATTCAGACAGGAGCACGTCGGTCATCGAGCTCCTGAGCTTCTCCCGAGGTGCCACAGAGGGCCTCTCTCTCCGTAGGGGTTCCCCCGGGCCCCTCGGGGGGTGAAAAGCACTCCTGTTGGTGCACTGGCCAGCTGGCCAGTTTCCTGCTCGGCGTGAAGCCTTCGGGGAAGCGTAAGACTGGAGTGCGCCCCGAGCCCTGAGCCTCTCGAGGTGCCCAAGAGAGCCTCTCTCTCTCTGTGGATTTCCCCGGGGCCGCCGGAGGGTAAAGAGCACCTCCTTTGGGTGCGCTGGCCGGCCCGCCAGTGTCT